TTATTATTATTATTATTCTGAGAGTTAACCCTTTAACTCCCAGAGGTGATTAACCTGTAACTTCTCCCTACAATATTTATACATTATCTAGCAAACAGGTGATGAGAATACTCAAACTCATCAGGTAGAAGTTGTTATCTTGATCTAATAACAAATTCTTGTAACTATGTAAATATGTAAATATGTAAATATAGTTTGTCAATATAGTTTATATCTGACCACTTGCAGCCCAGAGGCTGAATTACGGGTGCAGTGTAAGGTTGAGAACAGACGTCAGCATATCAGGCGCCTCTGGCAGCCGCTTCTGTCATACGCTTCTAACATACAAGGAAATATGTAGCAGCTAGAGGGGAGAATTAAAAAAATAAGATCTCACTGTCTCACCGGTAACCTGTTGTTTGGTGAGAGAGCACTTAACTAGTGAACAGTTGTCTGGCACTTTTCCAGTGTTAAGTCCTTTTCTAACACCATTTGGCTTATGTATTATGCATCTCACAAAGATTCTTACTGAATGAAATCTTGCCTATTACACAGCACTGAAAGATCTGCTTCACTTGATAGATTTTTGTAATTAAGCCATCCTTTAATTTGATCGGTGACAAACTTCAGTACAATAATCATATAATCTTCAGTACCTTTTTATATTGTTCCTCAGGAAGTAATGCCACTCTGTATTGAAGAAATGCTGCTACATCCTGACACTGCAACAAAAAAGGGTACATAAAAGTTAATCACTGTGGGGCTCAAACATGTACTAATGACATTGTTCTGCATTATTTGAAAGTTAATGTTATGATTCGTACCATTTCAACAAGGATGTCTTGTGGAACAGAATTTAGTGCCTCCACTGCAGAGTTAAAACCTAACGATCAACCAACAAAAAGAATGAGGTGAAAACTCAAAACAAATTGAAAATAAACCTCAAAAATCGAGAGAATGACATAAAAAAAAAACCTTGCGGTACATCCACGAACACCTGAGACATCTTCATTTCAACTGGCCCTAGCGGCGCAAAATCCGTTTTCTGCATATGAACAGCGGTTACTCCTGTAGAGAAATGAGGTAGTCGACCGAGCATTAATTTTTTTTCCGGTGGACTGGGTTTTGTGAGTCATTTTGTCCAGCGGTTGATTATAATAATTCAAAATGGCGGCTCAATCAGGGTTTGGATAATTTTAAAAAATCTTTGAGAAAATAAAAGAAAACTATGAAGCTGGTAAGCATATAGGGAGGTAATCCTTATCAATTTTATTATAGTGATTTTTCTCTGCTTGATTTTGGGGTTGTTTCATTTTGTCTTGCAGTATTCCTTGGGAAGAACTAGTTCGGCGCCATGTCACGTACTGCAGTTCAAAGGAGCAAGTATAATGTTGGACTGTTCTTTAGATATGTCCACTCTGCAGCACTTTATGCCTCTTTCACTAGTGAACAAGTGAGTTTTTTCGATTTTGTGCACGTTTGACCTAGGTCTCTTGATGCCTTGTAAAATTTTAATTTTATTTAATTAGTGAACGAACAAGTCAGCTAAAACCATGGATTACAAGGGAACTGCAGGATATTGAGGGATTTTCTGCCCAGAATGTAAGTTTTTACGATTTGATTTACATCATCCATTCTGTCTGTTTCGCTGCTCTCACAACTAATTCTCTTCCTTGTATCGACATTGTACGTGTATCTGACACTGTTCAATTCAACATTCCTCAGAACTTAAAGGAAATTGGTGGAAAAGTATTCATAGACGAGGAACCAGAAATTTGTCCTCCAGAGGTAATTTTGATAATATTCAAATGTACTCAATTTGCTTTTTATACTCTATACTCTTTTATACTTTTACTTTTTTATACTTTTAAGTGCAAAGTAAGCGCTGCTAAATAACTATTCTTGAATTCAAGGAGAAAAAAAAAATGCATAATTTTTATACTAATAAAGAAATTAGAAGAAGCGGAAAGATTTTCATATAACCCCATACCAATTAAAAACAAAGCTGATGTCCCGAAGGTAATGTGTTGTTTTGCCTTTGTTTTCTTTTATCCAAGAATTGTGTGCATAATGAAGTATGGGGTTATATGAAAATCTTGCCAAAGAAGCTTTTGATCTTTAACCTATTGACGCACAGTGCACCCGTAAGTGCCCATGTGGACCCACACCCTTTCTACACCTTGTGATGTCATCACTTTTAACCTTGGAGCACGACTTTGAGCACATACTTGAACAGGTTGAAAATATCTTACAAACGATACCAGAATGAGCGCAATTGAGTGAAGGAGATTGGAGAAATAGCCAAAAAACCATGTAACTTTGACCTGAAAATCTGCACGAAAATCTTGTTCCATTACCCACCTACCTTTCTGAGCATGTGGTTTGAAAATAATGAGTAGTTTCCTAAAAAATCTCTACACCAAAATGAAGCCTACTAAATTTCCAGCAAGTGAGGAGAAACTTCAGGCAAGGA